CTCGTAGTTATACCGTTTCGAGAATCGGGAGGAGAGGAGAGGACGTCGTTTAACGAATTTCGTAACCCAATTTTAGCCGACCGAAAGAACCGAGGTAGTTCTACGCTTTTAAAGAAGAAGATCTACTATTTCTCGTACCATAGAGGGCCGGGGAGCTGCTCCACGTAGATCTATAGAGAGAATCTATTTTTAAAGAGATTCCTCTTCAATTTCAGTCAATTTAGAGCAATTGGCGCGAGAATTCGCGCGGTTTTATATACCACTAAGGCGGCGGCGGAGGGTAGTTTCAGGTATAGTAAAACGGCGTACCACTTTACGAATTGAAGAGATTTCTTGATTCTTAAAAGCCTAGATAGCTAGCAAGATCCTACCCTCCTGCTCTATTAAATTCCTAGAGCGTTGAGAGCGAATTGGTGGCATGGTAGGTGGTTGAAGAAGAAAGGGTTAAATTAATTGACGCGTTTTCGATGGGGTGCGCCACTCGGTGGTGTGCGCCGCTCGGTAGTGAAATACGTTATATAGAGGAAGATAGTTAGTTAGTAATACGTAACTATATAGGTAGTAGAAGGGTAATAAGTAGATTAGTAGAATCCGCTAAGGCGATTCTACTATTCTACTATCTACTATTCTATATAGGAAGAACTTAGGGATATATAAGGATACTTATTTATATATCTAGTTTAGTTCTTCGTCTTTAATTATATATTATTACTTATATTTACCTTTTAGATTACTATGACTCTTTACTTAATTATAACTTGATAATACTTACGAGTAGACTAATACCCTAGTATAGATCTACTCGGCGCTCTACCTAGTATTAGTTCCTTAATCGCTCAAAAGGACTTAGGCTACTATAAGGCCCTACGCGGCATTAGCTCAGTTGAGACCCGATCATTGACGTTAGACCATTCGAGGAGTATTAAGGCAAGTATACCCTGAACCTATCTAACCTAACTATGACCAGTTAGCTAGTGCGTAACACTTATTTTTCTAACCGAGGTCAGAAAATTGATAGTAGTATCAAGTCATTATATAAATAATCAAATTACTTAAAAATATAGAGAAAAAATGCACAAATAATATAGGTCACGAGGTCAAGAAATTCTGCTTACTAAAAAGGCCCACGGGCGCCTACGACGCCTAAGGCCCGTGGGCCCTAAGGGTAGGGCCCGTCTATAGGCCTCTCCATAGGGCCCATTTCCCGCTTATATAAGGCCCGTGGGCAATGCCCACCCGCCCGTCCATGGGCGATGTCGCAGTCTACTACCGTTACTCTATACGTAGCCTTTGCTACTCTTATACGCGCTTTCTTAGCGAGCTTCGTGATTTCGGTAGGTATCTACGTACGGAAGTGTTTAATACCGTCGGAATCACCTAGTTTGACAATGATTTAACGATCTTAGATAAGATCGGAAGGCGATACGGGGTTAGTCGACGCCGATCTATAACTAGATAGGAAGTACGTCGGCGGCGGTGCGCTTTTGATAGCATCGATATATAACCGGATCCGGTTCGATCCGCTGGTATTAGTATTAGTATTGACATTCGACGAAGTAATCCTTACCGTATAGATGTCTTGCTTAATCTAGCTAGTCTCCTAGCGTAGCTGTTCAAATTGCTGTTTCTAGTCCTGGCCAATGGGGTTTCTGATCAGGTCCGCAGTGAGCTCCTGAATTGATTTGAGATAATCGAGGTCTAGCCTCGGGACTTTGACGGAGTTATTACTACTGATATGATTCAGCAGCTGGCGAACGTTGTAATTGGCATCTAGTATGCGCTCGTTGGTGTTACGTGTAGAGTTTTCGCGACCCCCTGAAAGGGGCGGCCACTGGCTTCCTGGCGCCACCATACTTGGTACCAAAAGATGGAGCCAGAAGTTACAATTAACTTGCAACTAAATTGAAGGCTGTAGCCCGCGGCGTTGTGGTGCAATTTCAAGAATTAGATTCGCGCAAAGATATGTGTTTTTGTTGGGGAAATTTGTCAACATTTATTCAGTTGAAACTTGGACTTACCTTTACTGCAAAGAGAGCGAGCTTCAATCCGCCATTAATATCCGCACTAGGATACCGATGTACGCAAGTTAAGGTCAAACGTTTACGAGAATACATCCAACTCCTTTACTCTTCCCCTTCCGGTCCCATCATCAAATCGTTTTCTCTTTACTCTTTACATATGAATGTATGATCCTATTATCTCAGAAGAAAAGCGAGGTAAAAATGACCGACCTTTCACAAAACAGGTCATTTTGTACCAATTGTTTAATAGCTCTTGTTTGTCCCCTTTCCACCCCCTCCGAAGCTCCAATCGATTTGCGTGGCCATCCTCACCTTCACCCCTAGCTCATCAGCAAAGGCATGAACCAAGCCAGGGTTCTGCTGGAACCAGCGCCCAATCTGCACTGCATCAATGCCAGTTTGCACCACCTCCTCGGCCAGAGGCCCTGTTTTAATCCCACCACCAGCCGTTATCAATAGCTTGTCACCCACGGCTTTCTTGACTTCTTGGGCCAAATGCATTTGGTAGGCCGGCCCCGGTTTGATAGCACTGACGGACTTAGGGTGGATGCCACCTGAGCTGACATCCAATAGATCAACCCCACGTTCAGCTAACAATGGGGCGAGCTGAACCGATTGAGCAACCGTCCAGCTCTCGGGGAAGGCTTCCTTCAATTCATCGTTATCGCTGAACTCGAACCAATCAGTCCCACTAATTCGAACCAATAGAGGCATTGTTTCCGGGATGGTAGCACGAATTGCCTCAGAAATTTCCAGCAGTAGTCTGATCCTGTTCTCGAAACTACCTCCATACCGATCCGTTCTTTTGTTGCTAACAGGGCTTAGGAACTGATGCAATAGATACCCGTAAGCGGAGTGAATCTCAATAGCATCAAAGTTAGCCTTTACAGCCCTTCCCGCAGCCACGGCAAAATCTTTGATCAAGACCTTGATATCCTCCAAGGTAAGGGCCTTAGGAACGGAGTTGACCCCTTTCTCAAAGGGGATTGCTGACGGTGCAACGATCCCATCCCACCCGCCGATTTCCTTAGCAGCCATAGCGTTGAGGCTCAACCAGGGAGCAACGCCACTAGCCTTTCGACCGGCGTGAGATAATTGAATAGCGATCTTCTGACTCTGGCTGTGGGCAAACTCGGTGATCCGCTTCAACGGTTCAATCTGACCATCTTCGTATAGACCAAGATCCTGAGGCGTGGTACGGCCCACTTTCTGCACGGCTGTGGATTCCATAATTGCCAATCCTGGGCCGCGCTGGAGAATTCCGCCCATGTGTGTCAGATGCCAATCGGTGACCTTGCCATCGTTGGGATTGGCAGAGTACTGGCAAAGAGGAGCAAGGAACAGACGGTTTGGAAGCGTCAGACCGCGGATGGTAAGAGGGGTGAACAGCTTGGTTGATCCCTCTAATTGCGTGCCTGCCGGGGGATTTTGCGCTGGTGTGTAATAGGAGATGCCCTTGGCGGCAAAGTTGTCGATTATTTTCGTCATGGTGTGGCAGCGTTTGACCGTAAATTTGAATAGGCACTGGAGAGCAAAACCCGGATTGAGTCTTTTGAGTGATATGAATTCAACATCGATGGGGTATTATTATTAGTGCGATGACTACGAACCTCAAATTCTGCAGCAACATGCATCAGATCCATCAAATTCATCAGATCTATCCGATTCATTCGATCTATCAGATTTATCAGATTTAGATACGGGTACGGATACATTATTGGGTGTGAAGAAAGCCAACTCCACCGGTCCCAACGCCAAGCGAACAACATGCATCTCTGCAAATTCCGAGTCGGAGCATAGGAGACATTGAATCCAATCAGAATTCGTTTATCATTGTGTCTCATCAGATGGTCCCCGGGCCGCAATACGAGCTGAACTCGTGTGATTGCGCCACATACTCCGCCACCTATGCCCTTTAAGTGGGGGTAATGTTATCCTCGTCATGAAGAAATTGAAAATCAACAACTAATTTCAATTACAAGCACCAGGATGCCGTGAAAGACTACAACATATAAGCAAGGAAGCTTAATTCTCAGTGCTAGAGGCCACTCCGGCCCGTTTGCGGTTGGATATCGATAAATACAAGTCGCTGAAGGACTTGATAAGCGTGCCTTGTACAAGTGGCAGCTGGCATGTCAATGGTCTCCAGCACACGAGAGAGCGTGACGAGGCTCTTGACAAGGCTGGGAGGTTAAAAGGGCCATTGCATGGAGTTCCAGATGCTTTAAAAGTAGAATATATGGCACATCCCTCTAATTTAGATATAGAAGTGCCGACATAGTACCCAAATAGGATCCCCATGAGGTTGACGGCCATGCCGCAACAATAGGCTACGTTTCAAGGACAGCATCTCCAACAAAATTGAAATTAGCGGCATTAATGCAGTTTGACCCCTCTATCATCTATTCCTCCATACGAATTGCAGCATGTTGCATCGCGTGATGGTATTTCAACGCAGGCTGCCTTCAGTCGATGGAATATGGGAGAATGAAGTATTCAACGTGGTCACCGCTCCTTTAGCTTCTTCCTTTCGGTTCTCTCTTTACGAATCCATTACAAATGTATATTCTATAACGAGGATGTATATGAATATACAGGGGTAAAAGGAAAGTTATAAATATGGTTTCAATTCTACAATTCATTTTCATACTGTAAAGCATACCTTTGCGAAACCTTCAATCCAATATTTACATGTTATTTTTGAGTTTTGATCTATTTGCTGGAATGCTCATACGTTGCAGTGCGTGATTTCTCGAACAAGGAGGCTTCGCGAGAGAATGACACATAGTCAAGCTTATTGCGTAGAAAAGGAACTTCTGCCTTTAGAAATGGAATTATATCAGAGTTCTATAAACACTAAAGGGCCATTAAAGGTTCTTAGTGACGAAAACAATAGTGGGAAGTCAACAACATATCAAAGCCAAAGCGCGCCCAGCAGTTGTAGATAAGACCTTTATGCACTGACTAACCAACCATTATTTACAACCGAAACACCTCAGTAGGGTGGTTGAGCACACACGTCGCTCCACGGATCATCACAGATGACTCGTAGTGGAGAATTTCGAGTTCATGTAGAGGATCGAACGCGGAGGGTTCGGGAAAAGAGAGAGACCCGGTCCCAAACCAGACCTCTTTTGCTTCAAAGTCAATGGTGGCGGGCACTAGTTCCTTGACCGATGGCGGATGATTTGCCAGCGGCGAGGGGATGACGCGAAGATTTGATGCCGAGATGGTCTTTGACACAGCAGGGAGGAGACGCGAGGGCGCAAAATTGAAATTGACAAGTTTCTGTCCTAGCGGTCTCTCGGCATGGCCCTGTATTATGTGGGACCCGGTGTGCATGTTGATAAAAACGTGCCCGAAACGTTTCGGGGAGCCCCATTGTTCACGGCCGCAGACGACGGCGGATTCATTGTCCAGTATCACAGAGAGACAGTAGTCGAACACTTTGCCTTTGTAAGTCACTTCGACAGAGTGAACATACTCCTTGCAGGTGCCGAGGGTGCCTATGCCATAGTCGACCAGCATAGCGTTGACCAATGGTTCGTTTTCCAGCTCGAGCACGTCTAGAACCAAATGGTGAATGCTCGCAGAAGTAACCCGGTAAGCAATCTTGATAAGGGTGATGTCTCATCAGTTTGGCGCTATGCAGTCTACGCTGTACCGAGGATACTCTATGTTGTGGGGAAATAGAGCCATGGATACTGGCCCCACAACAAACTCTAATGCTGATAGGCTTAGCATCCCGAGGTCTCTTCCAAGGTTAAGGGTTGTACAAAGTGTGACAGGGACTTGAGTGTTATTGGTTTATTACGAACGGCAAAGGATTACCTACTATTCGTCCAAATTTTATAGATGTTTGGTGTGCCGGGGCGCCAGGCCCCCGGGGGTGAACTCTACCTACATGGTAAACTCTCCTGCCGCCGATCATGCGAGGGTTTCTATATAATGATAAGATAAGCTGTGACAGTATGGACGGACTTAGAAGCGTATCAACATAGCAATGGTGTGGAATCGTGAGTTTCTCCCAGCTAGGTAAAAAGACTACACAAGAAAGAGGACTCTAAATGACGGTGAAACCTGCCGTAGAGCCTCGCTCTCTTCTTAATTAGAGAAGCTATTCAATTTAGTGCACATAATCACTTAAAAGAATAAACGAAATGTATAGATAAAAATAAAACATCTCAGATTCTGTGTATATGGGCTCCGGTCGTAGACATTAAGCTATAGCTCAAAAGTATTAATCATGCTTCCTGCTGCAATCTAAGCACCGGAAAATTTCATAGACAATCTCGTTAAAACGAACCCTTTTCGCCACGAGCTGCTGTAGTAACCGCAACAGCCCCCTTCTCTGCATAACCGGGCTCAACGGCATTAATGGTATATCCATCACTCCCAGAAGCATCATTATCCTCCACAAAGTCCTTGGGCTCCATCCATCCAGATGCGCCCTTCATATCAGCCGGGGCGAAAGCCAAACATGACAAGTAATAAACAACAAACGCAATAATCAGACCAGTAGGGTAAGCGATAAAGTAAAATCGCTGGATACCTAAAGGGGCCTTGACACCCATCTGGTGGAGAAACCCGTAAAAGTTCGGCGCAATAGCGATAACGTAGGCCAAGAAGGCGCGCGGGTTGAATCCATGGAAGTACCGGTACGGGCTTGGTTGTGAGACGTACAGGGCTGGGATGTTAAGCAGCCCTCGGCGAATAAGATAGTAATCGCAGATGAGAATGCCGGTAATCGCTGATAGGAAGATCTGGTAGGAGGAGAGGAATGTGATGAAGATTGAGGCTGATGCGAGGAGATACCAGGGGCAGATTGCATAGGAGAGGACTGTTGGTTTTGTTAGTTGTGTATTGAGGCAAGTGAAATTATTCCAGTTATTTTCTTCTGTTCTTACCGGCACAAATAAAAAATCCTCGTTTGATTGAAATGTATTTTGGTAAAAGGGCTGCAATGTCGTTTCCAGCACTGAGGGTGGTTAGTATTTGACATAGAAATGTGGCAGAAGGGGATTTGATTCTTACGGGATAGAGTTCTCGAAAATAGCAGAGAAGACAGTCGAGTAAACGAATGCTAGGGAAATGAAGGCACAGGCCGCGCGGTTGCCAGAGGTGTATCGCTCTCCTTCCATCAATTTGTCCAAGAAGTTCAGCGGGTTCCAGATAAGCTAGGGAAATTTGTCAGTCCAAGGTTTTTAAACAATGCTTTTGATACAACAAACCTCTCCAAAGATGGCTTTGCTAGCCGATGCGATAAGATTTCCCAAAATGGCAACCAGGAAGTTCGACAGGGGGAAGCTGACAAACTGGCCAATGAGGACGTCATTGGGCTTTGTAGCATATCGCTGGAGATCGGACGCGTTGGAGATAAAGGTTCCGCAACTTGCGAGTCCCAGGAAGAGGAACTTGAAAATAAGATAACTTTTCTCGGTGCCCTTGACCTCTGAAGGAGCATTGATTGTCTTCAAAGAGCCACCTGCGAGAGACACAGTCCATCCCAGCATAGCAAAGGCTGCACCAAAGTAGACCACAACTTTGACATAGACCAAAGACTTCATCTTTGGCACAGGCACCACTAAGAATGCGCAATTGATAAGCCTGTCGAGACGGGTTAACCATAGATCAAGCATTGAGATACTAGGCACTGTACCAATAGATGAAGAAACACATCATTTGTGCTGAAGTCAAAGCCGACTTAGATCCCATCTTATCCGGGATTTTTTCAATAGAAGGGAATATAGCGTGTAGGAAGACACTACAAACGAAGGTCAATAACCACACTTTCCGCGCTTCGCTCACGGGTGGAAATAAACGAGATCATGTCAAAAGCTTACTATAAACATTGCCCTCCCTGAACGGAATTGACACCATTCCATACAATTGACATGGCGGCGCGATTAAAAGTCGGCCACAGTGCTCCCCAATGCCCAAAGCTGGAGCGGCAAAGAACAGGGAACGGGATGCGATACATGGCGCCAGCACGCCCGTTCACAGCCATCAAGGCACCAGCAAGAATCTGACCGCCGAAGGAGCATCCGATTGCTTCCCACATGGTCAATCCCATGGACATCCCCGTGGAAGCTGTGTACAGATTGCTGACATTCGCAGTCGCAGAGAACCAGAACATCATGTAGGTGAGTTGGGACCATGTTCGATCCTTTACTGGTGTCGGTCGGATAGAGTCATTGTCAAGCATGTCAACGGGGCGATCAACGCCATCTCGTTGGGTTCTTTTCACTATTAGGAGCTCATGCAGTCGAGATAGTTTGGACATAATTGAGGTTGTATTGGGTGGGGGTGGATAGAGGGTGGAGAAAAGGGTAAAAAGATAAAAGATGGTCGAATTCGAGCGCTGATCTTAGTGGCGAACCCTGAAACTTGAATAAAGGGGGAGAAGATGGCGGAGAAGTACGTGCAGGATATATCGTGCTTTTTAGGGCTATTTGACAATTTGGAGTGACCAATGGACTGATAAGGAGTCACCCGTAACTGTCCACTGGCAGCTTGCAAAACCCCCTTCATTATCCAGAGAGGGCGCCGACGATGCTATCTCCTCACGAGAATTAAAAAGCCGAAGTAACAAATGTAACGGCCTATCTCAGCTTATCATTTCAACCAACCACATTTGCATGTGGGCGTATGGAGATTAGCCCGGCGATTGCCGTCGCAACGCGCTCTCCGACGGTTATCGGTGGATTTGACCCTTCGATCTTTCGAGCATATTGCGGGGAGAAGAACCGTGGATAAATTCACGAGCGCCCTCGAGTTGGTATTGGCCATCTATCGAACTAATCATGACAACCCTGCTCGAATATACTCAAGTCGAACTCCTGACACTTAGCGGTCCAGAATTCCGCCGGGTATCCACTGCTCCTCCGCGGCCGCCAACGGAGGATGAGATTCCGATCATAGATCTTGCTTCTATCGACAAGGATCTAGAAGCAAGAAAATCGCTCGCGTCCAAAGTCAGAGCAGCGGCCGAGAGCACGGGTTTCTTCTATATCAAAAATCATGGGATCTCAGAAGAGCTCATTCAGAATGCCTTATCGCAAGCAAAAGCTTTCTTCGACCAGCCCATCGAAAAGAAACAGCTAGCATCAAGCAAGATTCAAAAGAACGCTGATGGATGGCATGGGTTGGGAACTACCCAAGTCAACAAAACAGAAACAAGGGGTAACCACCTCCTTCTCACTCCCACCTTGGCATACATATCCTCGTCGTATTGTCAATGACTGACCAAGGTTCTCAGATCGCAAGGAGACATTCTCTCTGCGCTACAACCCCAAGAATGATCCAACTGTCTCCGAGCCGGACAAGCTGTCCGGCGACAATGACTTTGCATGGGAGACAACAAGTCATCTCCCTGGATTCCACGAAACGACAATTGAATTCTATCAGCGCCGTCTCACGCTTGCGCGCAAGATGATCCGTATCTTTGCGCTCGCTCTGGAAATGCCGGAAGACTACTTTGACGCGGTGACCACTAGCCCCGGCGCAGATGGGCTTTACGTACACTATCCAGCTACACCAGCCGATGCGGTCGAAGAAAACAATGGGGATGTCGATGTCGGCATTGGCTCGCATACCGATATCCAGTGCGTCACTCTTCTGTGGCAGGATATGTCAGGCGGTTTGCAGGTGCTGTCTGCTAGTGACGAGTGGCTCGATGCTCGGCCTATAGCTGGTACGCTGGTGGTTAACATTGGCGACTTCCTGCAGCGCCTTTCGAATAATAAGTTCAAGTCCACCGTGCATAGGGTTTATAATCGTCAGTCTACCTCCAGGTACTCGATGCCTTTCTTCCTGGGCTTCAATCCAGATTCGGTTTGTAAAGTTGTGCCTTCGTGTATTGATGAGACTCATCCTGCGCTTTATGAGCCTATCTCTTGTGGAAAGGTATGTCTTATCCCCCATTTAACCTTGTTCGGTACGGGGCGTAGCTAACCTTCACGTCCAGTGGCATCGCAACCGACTTGAACTCTCACACGGAAAGCCAATTTCTGATTGAAGCTAAGGTTTATTGTTTATTCGGAGAGATATGTATTCCAATTCAAACTACAGTGAAATAATAAACAACGCGCCTTGTATAGATTTCAAAAGTGCTGCATAGAACCATTCATCCCGCCCCAATCAGAAGCGGGCATCGAATCAATAAACCGAAACGGCGCCCAGTCTGCGACCGAGCCTGGATATGAATAAAATGTGTCATCTGGAATTACTGCCACCTTCGAATCCAAAACATCCTTTGCCTTCTTCTGCACAACATTCGTTGCCCAACTAAATACTCCCTCAATGCTCTTGGGAATCCTAGCCTGCGTCCGAACATCTTCCATCAGCGTATATGTTGCATGCACATCCGATATACTCGCGCAGTACTCTGCTAGAGTGACGCCCGCATATGCTGTGAGCAGGTAGTCGTATGTCGGTCTAACAAACGGAGTCTCAGCGGTGCAGAGGACGAAAATCTCTCTCAGTACCCGCTGAGCATAACGAATAACCGTTTCGGTCAGCTCGTTGATACGCTCGTTGCGCATCAGCACATTCGGAGACGTGGATTGGCTCTGCTTTGCCAGTTCCCAGCGAGATAAAATTAGGGATGCGCAAGAGTGCGCCCATCTTAGTATATTGTTGCCTTCTGTGTTTGGAAGTCAGTATGGAAAATAGCATACCAGCACGCTTAAATTAGCATGCTCACCTCCAAGATATTTGCGCCCCCATCTGTTGACATTCTCCCAGGCCTCAGGCACTGAACTGACGGTGTGATAGATGGCTTCGTACAGGTGAATATATAGCTTGAGCTCTGCGGCAATGATGTGATCGAATGTTTCAAACCCGGGGTACTTCACAATCTCTGTCCACTTATGAAGACGGTCGCATGAAACCACTGATGGCCGACCGGTGCCAATTGCATATCTTGAAATCTAGTCAGCTTTGATTCCCATTCTAGGAGTTTACCATTGTAACTTTGCAGAGTACGTACTTCAGATGTACCAGTGACGCCTGAATCCACATCCGGCACATGTTCCGATTTGTTTCATCGTATAAGCCCACGAGCGACACAAGCTCAGATAGAGGAAAACTAAGCATGCAGTGGGTGATCGTTGTGCTGCTCATCAGCCAGCTATCAATATACCTACCACCTGGCACGAGAGGCCCAAAACTCCAGGCACTGAAGATAAGCATGGCGTGTATGGTAGAGATATCAATGGGCGTATCTAAAGTCTTCATGCCCAAGTGGGTCTTGACCAACGTATGAAGGGTTATGTGCAAGTTAGTGCGGTTTAGTCCGGCCGTTGCTCGGATTCCTGCCAGAAGACACACGGCAAAGAGCAGCGGATGGTTCTCTTTGAGATCCGTCAGGGTCTCATTCGGAAATGGGTACCATGATGCTATCTGCTCAAAACCGTGCTGGAAAACGCTGGCGAAACTGTCCGAGTCCAAGCCCATCTCGGTCATATTTCCACGGAGCGAGTCGTTCTCCCCGGTTGTTACGGGCTCCGTGATTAGACTCCCAACGTGGCGGACCACTGTGATTGGTGCTGGCTGGATGTCGGTGGTTGCCGATATGTCTGTCTCTGAGGGGACGTGCATAGTGGCTTTGCTATCATTGATATCTTTTCTCGGAAGTAAATTACTGCCCGTTCCATGCATTTCATTGGTAGGGTCTCTTGTCAGTGACCGGTCATTGCCGAGAAGGTGAGATTTCAGTAATTCTTTCATCTCAGCGAGTGAAGCTTCGATGGCATCAAGTCTGGTGCTTATCGGTTAGTAATCGGAGCGTCGGTCTATACAAGTGGAATTAGAAATACCGGTTTGCACAATGGCACCCAAGACGCTGGTCAGGAGTCCTAGACCCTGAATCCGGGCTAGTGATAGCAGATGTGGATGGAAGAGAGCATTCAAGCCTATTCGTTGTCCGATTAACCCCCCATCAATCCTCGTAAATGATGTGATTCTATTGGGCCACCGACCTTAAGGAGATGCACCGAGCACATTGCCTCGAACCCGGGAGAACTTCGCATCGTGTCTTCAAGCGCCGACACGGCTGGCAGGACAAAATCCGTCGCTTGGTCGGCATTTCATAGAGTGGAATGTCCCATGGGATCATAAGATATTGTGAAGTCAACCTGAAACTCGATGTTCTCCGCTGCTTATCTGGGGTTAACAGGACGCTAAGACGTATTGGGTTAGCCGCCCAGGCTGGTCAGGTCCCGAGGTCCACGGGTGGCAGTTTAGGGTTATCACTGGCCGATAAGCAAAGTTGGGATTTGATAGTGCAATACGATGAGTTATATCTAACGGAACAGTGGAATAACTTGTTAAATTCGTCTGATACGTACATGCCATTGAGCAGGTTTTTTGTTTTCATTTGAAGAATTTGGGGCCCTCACATAGGACTAAAGCTTCCCACCTTGGAATGGAGAAGTTCCCTATGGAAAATCATGCGGCTCCTCCCGGCGCAAGCTGCTTTCCCTTAACACTTTTCCACTCCACAAACAGAGCGCCAATCATGCTGATAGAAGCCATAGCTGCACCGACAAGAAAGGTCTGGGTAAGTGCGTCATTGTAAGCATGGAGGACTCCGGGTAGGTCAGCTTCGTCAACAACACTTTGGAGGCCAGTGGCTCCGGCCTTGAGGATCAAAGCCGTATCCACTTTGGGGGCGTATTTAGCGAGATACTCAACAAGCTTGTTTCTGAAAACATTGTTCCCAATAGAAACAAAGAGAGCACCGCCAAGAGTCTGGGCGAAGACGATCATAGCCGTGCCAGTGGGTAGATCAGCAAGAGGAAGGACAACTTGAACACCGATCAGAGGTTGCTGCATACCGGAACCTGCACCGGTGCCAGCAATTATCTGGTAGCCGATCCAGACACCTTTGGACGTGTCTGTGTGGAACATGCTCATGAGACCGTATCCGATGGCGAGAAGGATTGAGCCGAGAATCATGAAGGGTGTATAGTAACCGATATAGGTGATGATAATTCCAGCCATGAGGGAGGTGACAACCATGGAAATCAACATTGGCAGGTTCATTATACCCGAGCTGACGGGACTGGCGTTTTTCACGGCCTGGAACCACATGGGTAAGAAGTAGATAGAGGATAGGAAGGCGGCGCCGATGCAGAAACTGTAAAGAGCAGCAGACCAGACAGTACGACGAGAGAGAATGTGTCGTGGCAGTGTAGCATTCTCTTTCTGGGTGTACTGGACTACTAAAAACAAGACAGTGAGAACAGCAAAGAAGCAAAACAACACAATGATGCGCCAGCTATTCCAGGCATAGATGGTGCCACCCCACTGCAGAGCTAGCAACAAGCAAATAATGGCAGGGAGGAAGAGGGTTGTACCCACGGGGTCGAACTTCTTAATGCGCTCAGCCCATGTCGTTTCCTTGTTATGGTGGTTGGGGGCAGGGAAAAAGATTGCAATCACGAAAATGGTGACAGCCCCGATAGGAAGATTGATGTAAAAACACCAGCGCCATGACACTTTGTCGGTGAAAAGCCCACCAAGCAGAGGCCCAGCCACGGATGAAATGCCGTACATGCTACTGATAATGCCGTTGTACAATGGGCGCTTCGGCAGTGGGATTGCGTGGGCGACAATGATGAGCGAGCCCGAGAAAATACCCGCAGATCCAATTCCCGCAACGGCACGGCCCATAATAAGTGTCAGGCTGCTGTTAGCCACGCCGCAGATCAGACTGCCTAGCTCAAACACTCCGATAGCGGTGAGGAAGGTCCATTTGATATTGAAAAAGGCGTAAAATTTTCCGAAAATTAGCTGGAGCGAAGCCGTGGTGAGAAGGTATGCTGAAAAAAAGTAAAGAAAATGATCAGTTCACGTCCATCGCATAATTTGCCTCGTGGTTCATCGTACCACTTCCATACCAGCCGACATCGTCAAGGCTGTGGAATTGGTCTGTGATCTTTGGAATTGCCGTAGCAATGATGCTGTTGTCTGCAGCGTAAGGGAATGTGTGTTAGCTAGGCCCTGCAGTTAACCTCTAACCTTGTAAGGTTTAAGAGATAAGGATAAACATGCCAAGAGAGACTAGAAAAACTCCCAAACACAACGCCAGTGTAATCAAAGCCAATTTGAGACCCTTTGCGTACTCAGTGCCCTCAGGCTTGGTGCCTGCTGGGTGCTCAGCCTTTGCAGCTTGGACTACGTTTTCCAGCTCACGGGAAACATCGCCGACCAGCGTGTTCTCCCCCTCTTGGTTAGGAAGGTTAACGTGACTGGAGTTTGCTGTAGACTCCATTTTGAGTAACTTTGTACAATGAAGGTCAAAGGCAGTAGAAACGTATCAACTGGGATCAGAGTGCGGAAAAAATGCAAACAACAACACAGGACGCGTTGTCTTGATGCGTTGGAAGAGATGAAGAGAGGAAGAGATGGAAAGAGAAGAGGGAAGAGAAAAAAAAATATCTTTCAGGGCGTAGGGTAGGTACCCCCAGGGCTCAAGGCATCGCTGACATGAGGTCCGGAACCTTCCAACGTTCCAAACTGAGAAAAACAACATTTGAAAGTTGATTTTTCCCCTATTGGAAGGTAAATTGGATCTTTGTATTCGGCTTAGAGCATTTACTAATTACATCTACGGATAACTAGTTAGCAGTTTGTAGTCAATCATCTCAATTGTCAATATCAAGGTCTGAGGACGGAGGCTTATGAGACCGACTATTATTTTAACATATGTCTATAAACACTGTACTAAGTTCTATCTAAATGCTATCTACGAGTAATGTACGAGCCTTTTGGGATTCTTGTATTTTCAATATAATTATACCGAATTGATTCATTTATATATGGTCGGTTTTCGTCACCTGTAGACATGTGCTAAGCCAGAGAAGTTGCCATTCTGGATATCATTTTGGTATCTTTCACTTGTTGGTCAAAGATTTGCCAACAGCTTAGATCTCAGGGTCGCACTGCGGTGTATACTTGCACATTTGGTTGGGTAGGACAAAGCAAGTTGAGTCTGACGTCGATGTAATTCAAGTCTGACTTTTGTTGCAGGCGACTGTTAGCGTGGATCACTTATGATGAGACCTCGAACACTTCTTTAAATTAGATTTTCCCTATATATTGCGACAAATTAGTTCTAACGTAATATTCTTATCATTAAATTATTGAGATATAATGCCTTGCTTGGATTCAACTGTCATATGTGAGTGTTGGAACATGTCTATATAATGTTTCGTAGTATCATGAGACTCCGAACCATAGCCAAGTTGGGTTTGCCCTGGACTTAAGACAACGTTAGAGTGCAATTTTTGATCGCACAATATCCCGATCGAGATCCTGGTACATGGAAGCACAATCCCAAGTATTTTACCCAGACACACTTCTAGTGACGAGACCCATGCATCGAGAGTTTAACAGTAAAGGCGGGCCGGCCCTGGTTTTGGGATACAGTCATTCGGTCATATATTTCGGAGTATCTCAAAGTCTGAGTTCAGGGTCCTACCCCCTTCTACCTAATCATCACATCACACTCATATGGTTATATGTCTCCGGATAATATGTTTGGAGATCCGTTCGAGTAAGGTACAAGGGAAGTGTGATCTAGAAATAGAAATTCCCACTGTGTCTAGCTAGCGCCTAGCACGGAATATCTTTTGGGCCAGTCCTATCCTATATTGGGCCTGTGTTTTACTGAAAACTAGCTATTACACAGATATCTGTCTCTTGAATATAATTTTGGGGGTTTCTGAAGGTTATGGTGATGAATATAATACCTCTTTAACCTCGCTGATATTCTTCTTTTTCTTAATTTTAGAGCAGTTAGCAAGTTGTACTTGATATAGTATGAAACGATATGTCACAAATATCTACAGTCTTTGTTTTTGTTTTGTTTTATTTGATTTGATTTTCTTTTCTTTTTTAGCCATCTGCTTGTTGCTGGTAATAACTGGAGCTTCACCTATACTTGTTGGCCGCTGTCACCCGCATCTCTCAGCATCTATCCAGAAAACAAATGACCCCAAAAATGACATACTCGAAACCGGATTTAGACATGTATAAGTCCCGTGACCGACCAAACAGAATAACCTGATTGGGAAAGTACCCTTGAAAATCAGGCCAAGACTGACTGTCAATCGACGTAAGAGATGAGCTACATACTCATGACGTCAAAACCAACTTAACAGCTGGGGCGGCCAAGTAGAAATCAAGTATGCTACGGCGACATTTGAAGCTCCAACCTATTTAAACAAGCTACTCGGTATTAACCTGGGGGAATCTATAAAATATTTCATCCCTTATATTCAATTCACCCAAGCTATCGGAATCTTCTACCACACTACTACATACATCAATCATATCCAAAACCATGTCCGCATCACGATTCGCTCCTCTCCTGAGAACCCGAGTGGCGGTACAAACTGCACCTGGCTTCCAGGCAGTTCGCTCCATCTCAGCTACAGCCCAATGCAACAAGGGACCTGTGGATGCGACAAAGGAGACATTAAAGAAAGCGGACCGGACTGTATCTGATGCAGCAGTCAAGGGCATCAATACCGGTGGTATGTCTTCAATGGGATCCCATAGACCTATACATAACTTTGATTCAATGTGCAGAGACTGGTGCTAACATGACTTTGCCAACAGAGAAAGCCGCCAACAAGATTAAGGATGCCGTTGGCTCCGGGGCCAAGCAAGCAAGGGAAAAGGGGGCAGAGGTAAAGGGCGAGGCATCCGAGTACGCAGGAAAGGCGAAGGGTGAGGCGGCCGAGTATGCAGGCAAGGGCAAAGGCAAGGCAGAAGAAGCACTGGGTGAAGCTAAGCAGAAGACAAAGTAGGCGCGATGGGCCAGGTGAAAAGGAAGGCCGAGGAGGCCAAGCGCCGCATTGATTAAAGGCTTCGATCTTGCCTAACCGGGTTAAGCTTGCATCACTTGTGATCCGAATTGTAATATTCTTTCTATATTCCGTTCATCAAAGTTGGTGTAGCCCGTAGCGCTTCAATGCTTCAAAGCTTCAAAGTTGAAAGTTTCACTCTTCAGCTGGGAGGCAGCATGAGGACGTATTCGCGCGAACTCAGGCCGAAGCGAATTACGTCCTTGTCCATGACTTCCACGTAGCGACCACCGGGGATGGTCTCTCCATTAACGCTCGATCCATTTGCACTTTCAAGATCAATAAGATAAGGTTTGACCTTGCCGATGCGATCGCCATATTCATTGCGCTTTTCAACAAATCGGAATTGTAGCACTGCATGTTGCTTCGAGCAGCTGGGATGGTCGAGTGGGAAGTCGACCACCATTCGCTCGCGACCGACCAGCCAGCAACTCCGTTCACTCAATTCAACCGTTTCCAGCAAGTCTTGCCCTTTAAACACATACATGCGCCAGGCTTCCTTGGAGGGCGGCTTGCGCGCCTCTGGAGGCTCATGGTATTTCAAAACTATTTCCGCACCGCCCTGGACTTGAATTGTATTGCTTTCAGCTGCGAGTCTGCCAGTAGCGTTGAAATTTGGCTTCTGCTTTTCTGGCACCGGTGCATCTGAAGGGTGCGCCACATCGGTGAATGCATCGTTCTGCGAGGGGAGGGGGCCGCGTCGTTCTAATGCTCGTGGTGGAGGGCTGCGTGATTTCTGTGGCGAGCGAGAGCGTGATTGCGTAGCACGATGTCTCCGAGATGGCCGTCCTTCATCTTCGTGGCGGGTATCACGGTGTCGATGGCTGCGGTGTCTGTGTCTGCGGCGGTCTTCTCTCGCTGAGCTTGTTGAGCGCTCTCTGCGCTCGCGGCGAGGTCGATCACGATCACTTCGGCCGCTGGTCCTTTCAGCTGGACTGCGGGATGATCTCCGTCGAGAGCTGTCCCGGCGAGAGCTCCGGCGGTCTTCATCGCGTCGTCTTAAGCTCGAATAGTGGTCATCTTGGGGCGCATCTCGTCGTTTGCGTTCGTGGGTCCGATCCGAGGGTGAGTTCACGGAGCGCCGACGGCGTTCCGGGTAGTCGTCGATGGACCCAGCCATTGTTGCTGTTAAAATGGGACTGCGGGGAAAGGGAAACGTAAAGATCAAAATGTTGGAGATCTTTGGATCATAGCTCCCCATACACGTGACCATCCCCGAAGCCCGCCGTTCCGAAGGACGAGAGCACCACCTTACTCTCTCTTGGAATAACTTTAAGACAAGAGCACAACAGATATTTTAACCGTGCTCTCTGAAGTAACGCCATGTGACAATGTTTAAGAAAATCAATATTTTTCATGGCAAAAGCCTGCGACTTTTGGATTCGACCGTGGTCTTCCCGCTTTCTCGTTTCAACATCTCTCTAAGCTATGGACCGCAGACACCATACAAAAATAGGAGATATGCCACTGCAGCAGAGTTCCCACATCAGAACTACTCATGGCCCAGCAATCCATCTTTCACCCCTTATGATGTCTTGAATCTACCCCGCAGCGCAACGTACTCGAAAAGAAACTACTATGACCTCGTTAAGATCTACCACCCCGACCGACCTATCAAAGACCATCCTCTGTTCCATCAATTAACCGCTGAAACTCGATTGCAGCGCTACCGGATTGTGGTTGACGCACATGACATCCTTTCCGATCCGATCAAACGAGCCGCCTATGACCGAAATGGCACTGGCTGGACCCACACGGTACTAGATACAACAATAAAACCCGACTCGCATGGACCGAATATCTACTCAAATGCCACATGGGAAGACTGGGAGGACTGGCATAACCGCCATCAAGGGCCGCAGCAGCATGTTGTTGACCAACGCACCTTCTCTCGGCTTGTAATCCTCTTGGTGTTGTTTGCGGGCGCCCTCCAAGCATCCTGGATTGGGCAGATGAACAATGGCGTCACTGACCGACTACGTGAGGTCAATGAGAAGTCAGCGCGCGTCCTACAAGGTCGCAGAGATAGCACCGTCAAACAGATGGATTCAAACGATGCGCGTGTGCAGGGCTTTCTTATTCGGAGAGACCCCACAGGTTCGGGTGTGAAGGACCACGAACAACCGGTATATGAAAGGGAGTTGAATCCTCGGCGCGGTTTGAATGAGTCCTCCCAGGTTGGCAAAGATAGCCGAGAGCCTGCACAGTCAGTGGACTTGAAGTCGGGACCTTCAGAGCTCCCCTAGTCCTGTAGGATGAGCATATGATTGCATGGCGTTTTGGTGTTTTTATGTGTTGCTGTAATTTCACAAGCACTTGGTTGTGGTCCTGGAGACTCACCTGCGATTGCTTGGGGGTTGTACCTAGGTAACGTTGGACATATTCCTAGACTGATAGGTAAAGTACATTTCAATGAATCTTAACTTCAAATTATTTTTGGGTGTAATAATAGCTGCTTTGGGATTTACCAATGGAGCAATGGAAACAACATATCATATATACGTTGATCAGATATCTCATTCAGTCAGGGTCTATAGTTAACCATATGGAACTAGGCATAGCACCACCCGAAGCTCGAAGAAGAATAAGGGATAACTGCATATGTAGCTAGAGAGCCTAGACTGCATATCCTAGACTGCATATAAGGGAGCCAGCCAAGTGAGGTTGGAATGTGTATATTATGCCAAATGACGACAGGAGAATCTCGGCTGTTGCTCACCTGCGATATAAAGCTAACAATATATATTGTTAAATTAAATAAAGTATAAAGTGTTGCCCCAGATTGTCCATTTCACAGTTAAATTTTCCGGCGGAAAACGGGGGCTTTGACCGTCGATATTCCCGCATCGAGCGAATTTGGCGCCACAAGAGCCCCGTTGACGTCGGCGGGTCGATCCCCTTGTTCCCAGGGGGGGGGGGGGTTAGGCATCTGCAAGTGTGACAATGCATTTGGCCGCTACAATACCCCATTCCCCGTAAATCTGAGGCTGAACAAGGGGGGGATAGGGGGTTTGGATTCTCTGGTCTAGACCGCATGGAGAACTTCTCCTTCGATCCAGACGTGCCACGAGTCGCTTTTTGGTATGTAATTGTAGATGGCGGATACCAATATACATATGGTCATGTGCCCTGTGGATACATATGCTGTGCATATCTCATGAATATATTTCATAAGTGAACACTTTTCCCGGTATAACAGGGTGAGATTTGGATTTGGACGAACATCGTCATTACATATTATGTTCACCGCAGCCCCGAGTGCAGGTAATCCAGGTAACCCAGGTACACCTAGGCGAGAATATAGTGCTACGTCACAATAATTTCTTTTTTTAGTTTTCAAAGGGGAACAGGTCGGTTACATAGATAGATAATTATGAGAAAAAAAAGAATAAAGTGATTATAATGGTCAAATATTGAATACTATTAACGTATCTATATAATAGTCTATATAATTAATACCCTGTAATAATATAAAGTAATAACCGTATATATGTTATATATATAAAAAAAAGCCAAGTTTTTATTTTCCTACGTCATAACCCCCCCCAGGTGCATCACGCCCCCAGTCCACTTTTTCCTTCCTTCATCCACTCCCATCCACTCCCATATCGATCCAAGCAATGGGCCTGGTACAGTCTGTGTCCCTAAGTTCTCACTCTCTCTCTCGAACACCTCAATATATCGGTTTCCCCCCCTTGGGTACACCGCCTTAACCTTATTCGTTTTCAACTTCATCTCTTATGATTCTAAATCAAACTCTCACCTCATATTCTAACCTTGGCATAATCTGTTTTTCTTTTCCTTGGTTTCCTTAACCACCCCACCCGCCAACATCTGACCTCCCCCGTTTGCGCCCTAGGTCAAGCCATAAACGCCTCACATCGTTCCATCCCATACCTCACCCACGACTATTGATATCCTTTTATACCCTTTCCCTCCACTCGCGGAGGTGCGAGAATGGGGGATGTCCATAGTAGGAGGAGTCCTCCATTCCCTTCGCCAACAGAAACACTTCCACCTACAATGCCCCAATCCCATCATATACAGCCGCCCAGATCGCCTGGCCATCGACCCCCACATGGTCACCAATCTCAAAAATTGGTGGATGAACTTGCGGATAGGGTAGACGCTCTTGAGAGGTCATCTCTCCAGCCATCTCGGTTATCGCGCGGTGACTCTACAGAGAAGGTTGTTGGTCTAACACCCATCACCGAGGACGCACGATCGGAGGCCGAGCGACAGGAGGATCAAGGACGGAGTTCGCATACCCTCAAAGAACTTCGAAAGCAGATGGAAGATCTCCTCGTATACCAACAGATGCAGCAAACTCAACCAGCCTCGTCCCAGAGTCAACCTGTCTCCGCCCTCTCAAATGATACCCCAAGAAAGAGACGTTTGTCCAATACTTCGTCCAATACCTCAACGGAGGCTCCAGCCCCCATCGTGCATACCTCCGCAGGCTCGGCAGGTTCAGCAGGCACAATCAAAGGTGTTCAGGCAGAGACACCTTCCGATCGCAAACCAGCACATACGCCGTCGTATCCCTTCCCACATATTCCCCACATCCAGAACAAATCAACCAAAATGGCGATTGAACCAACAGCGCGTGGGGGACCATTTAGACTGAAGCTCCCATCTGAGAAATCTCAATCTCCAACACCAATCTCCCAAACTTTACCAGAACCAAAAGCTTCGGAAACGCGTCCACCATTTCTGCCCGCTCATCATAACCAAATCCAGGAAGATCCGAATTTTGTCAGTCCCGATTTGTATGATCTGACACTTCAGCTGAATGCGGATTCGGGACTCGAAGCGTGGTGGTCTAACCTCATTGATATATTGCAAACGCATTACGGGGCCGAGCGGGTGTCACTCGCTGTCCCTGGAGACGTGACTGATTTGGAGAACGTACCTTGGGGACAAAAAGCAATTTTTAACCAGAACGTTGATACATCGTTGCATGAACTTAAAGCACGTCATATGGAGGAGAGACCATCAATGGAGACACCTCAGTCACGCAAAAATGTCACGCAACAGAAAACCGAGACTGTGTTCCAGCAGGCTAAAATGCCTGGATCTTCCCGGCCATCTTTATTATCTCGGCACTCATTCGCTGGGTTTGATAAAAACAAAGGCCACACCCCCCACGATCCCAACCAACCACAAGTTTCGAAGATAAATGTCAAATCCGAGAAAAAGCACGTACAAATCGCTTCCCCAAACCCGCCAAGCACAGATCATTTGATGGGAGAGAACCCCGAAGCCAGACACGATACAATCGACAGTCTCCTCGGCAGTATGCGGCAGGCTGTCTTCCCCATACCTAGACCATTGGAGGTAGAGCTAGACCCTCTCATCAAACGCACGGGTGTGGTCAGGTTATTTGGGCGTACCCGTCCCACCATCTTAACACGTGAATATACAGAGAGCGCGCAACATCCACAGCGTTGGACCGAGTCCGCCGACAGTCCGAATGAGATGGTTCAAATTACTCCTGATGTCGATGGTCCTGGTGACAAGGGTTTCGGGAGTGTACCGATGCAGCAAGGTCTCGGTGTCAGTGGATGGAAACAGTACGATGAATACGAGCAGATACCACAGTCTCCGTGGTCTCAGTCCCCTGCTCCTTCGCCCGCTCCTCGCACACATGCAGAGCAGAATCCGTTCTTCACAAGCCATTCAGTCGATGAAGAGGCTTTCTCCAAGCATCCTCCTTCACACGACTACTCTACTAATCTTCCACTAGAGGCCATTGGGGTCGATCAGTCCAAGACCGTTATCCACATTCCTCTCTTACATGGTGGTCACTCTAACTGGGATTCCTCATCGACATTGAGATTCCCTGTTGCCGTTGTGTCGATGTTGTGTACAATCGTTCCATATCCTCCTAACCTCAGGCAATCACTTTCATTTCTGATGCCGCATTTGACAACTTCTTTCTGTTTGGCTCAGCGATATAGCCAGCTTGAAAGACAACTCTCATCCAAGATGGAACCTCCCCGTTATGGTCATCTTTTGGGTCTCGGGGGCACTTTCTCGGATGCAAGCAGTGAGTTAGAGCTTGTTGCGGGACTAAGTGGTCACGTCAGCTACTCCGTTGGCGACAACAACAACTCGATGTCCGCACACACGAGCATCACTAGCCCTAGTGATCGTTCGTCTGTAAAGTTCAGTCCTGCTGTTTCTGCTATGGGGACTCCTGGGTTTGATCTTGGGCACATTGGATTCGGGTCCGCAAACCAATCTCCCGGAGTGGCTTCACGATCGGGCGGAGAAGCTGCTGACAGCTACTTCAATGTCCCTCAAAATAAAAACGCCCGAGACAATGCATCTCAAAGCAGACCACGGCTCCTCAAGTCGAAGACCACCAACATCGACTCATCGACGCCAATTTCTCCTGACAAGGTGGCCTGGAAATCAACCACGAATGATGACAACAACCTACAAGATCAACCTTTTTACGTCGCATCACCACTGCAAGACACCAGGCCGCCCAATGTCATTTCACCAACCCAGCAATCATCACGTCAAGCCTCTACAAACTCGTTGTATGCCCAGCTGCAGCGGGAGCTCCCGCGCCCATTCACCGACACGATAGCCCAGCTGATGCTTAACTCGATCCCATTGCATCTCTTCCTGGCAAAACCTCAGAGTGGCGAAGTGATTTGGACCAATTCCAAGTTCGATGCTTACAGAAGAAGTCAGCACCAGGAACAAAAATTTCGAGATCCTTGGCAGAATATTCATAGCAGCGAGAGTGAGCATGTGCATATCAAATGGGCCAATGCCTTGCGCACAGGTGCACAATTTACGGAAAGAGTGCGAGTCCGAAGATTCAATGATGAATCGGCATATCGCTGGTTCATTTTCCGGGCCAATCCGCTGTTATCATCAACAGGAGAGGTACTTTACTGGATTGGCTCTTTTCTTGACATTCATGAGCAGCATATTGCTGAGCTTGAGGCAATTCAAGAAAGGGAAAAGTTTGCTATTGATGCAAAGTATCGTGCATTCTCCAACTCGATCCCACAGGTTGTGTTTGAGGCAACGGAGAACCGGGGATTGATATTCGTCAATGAGCAGTGGAATCTGTACACCGGTCAACCCCTCGAGGAAGCACACGACCTTGGCTTCGCTAAACATGTTCATCCTGATGATCTCGAAAAGTGCGGTGAACTGTCCCTCAACAAAACATCTCAGAACGCGGACCAAAGTGATAGCGGGCCTTGTGAGTTCATGGTCGGAT